AGAACCACAGACCACATGTCCAAAGCCTGACTTGCCTCTCCTCACCACTGTGGATCCCAGGCACTGGGGCCTGCTGCCTGCCTCTGGAGGGCATCTCATTTCATCCTGTGACTGAAGAGCTACACCCTGACCTCTGTGCTCTCTTCTCACCCACCCAAGGTCAAAGGGAAGTGTACCACTGACCACATCTCAGCTGCTGGTCCCTGGCTGAAGTTCCGTGGGCACCTGGACAACATCTCCAACAACCTGCTCATTGGTGCCATCAACATTGAAAACGGCAAGGCCAACTCTGTGCGCAATGCTGTCACCCAGGAGTTTGGCCCTGTCCCTGACACTGCCCGCTACTATAAGGTAGGTCACAGTTGGTGGGCGGCAGTGCTGCTGGCCACTCTTCTGAGGGCCTGGAAAGCAGGCACAGGAAGGACATTCAGGAAGTGAAAACTGGAGAGGAGGCCAACCAAGTCCAAAGGAAATTGCCATCCAGAAGGAAGGAAAGTCCTCAGCTTCTCCCTGTGACCAGGAAGGAATGAGGCTCAGCTCAGCTGGATGGAGCCAGGTCCCTAAACCTGGGAGGCCCTGCCCAGGAGGAGTTAGTGAGGGGATTCCTCTCAGGAGACATTTGGTCCCGGACCTAAGAAGAGGGTTAAAGGAGACTGTAAGAGAGGAAGAGTGGTTTGGGAAGTGAGAGGCAAACTGAGACCCAGAGAAGGGGCCACACAGGGCCTCTGCCTTATAACCTCACCCCTGCTTGCCTGACAGAAACAAGGCATCAAGTGGGTGGTGATCGGCGATGAGAACTACGGTGAGGGCTCAAGCCGGGAGCACGCAGCACTGGAGCCTCGCCACCTCGGGGGCCGGGTGATCATCACCAAGAGCTTCGCCAGGATCCATGGTGAGCTGGACCTGGAGTCAGCCCACCTGTACGCCCTCACTGGTGACCAGGATCACCTGCCCTGCCCATGACTCAGTTGGGTGTGGAGCCCCGTGCCTGGCTCCAGGCTATGTTCACAGCTCCTGTGTCCCATCACAGCCCATGAGACTCTCAGCTTTCTGCAGCTTCCCATGTGGTCCTGCTTCTGACTTGTAGCCGCTAAAATCAAGGACACATGGTCAGAGGGTTCTTTCTGTGAATGTGTCTAACAGGAAAGCCTTAAAGAGACATCAGTATTGGCCCGGCACGGTGGCTCATGCCTATAATCCCAGCACTTTGGGAGGCCGAGACCAGAGGATTGCCTGAGCCCATGGGTTCGAGACCAGCCTGGGCAACTTGGCGAGACCTCGTCTCTACAATAAATCAAAAAACTAGCCAGGTGTGGTGGCGCACGCCTGTAGTCCCAGCTACTTGGAAGGTTGAGGTGGAAGGATCACCTGAGCTCAGCAGGTTGAGGCTGTGGTGGCCGTGAGCGTGCCACTGTGCTCCAGCCTGGACAACAGAGTGAGACTTAGACTAAAAAAAATAAAAGAATCATTAGTACTAATGCACATTTGTTTGGGGTGTCCTTAGTGAAAGAAAACATGTCACCGGGAGCTGAACAGACCCGGGCTTTGTAGTCATGCTTGAGCTTTGTCCCAGCAGCAGGGCTAGGAGTGTCTCCCAGATCCCCAGCTGGATTTAGGAAAGGAAGCTCTCTGGGCTGGTGAGGGACCCTGTGCAGGGTGGGGCACCACCTCCTACTGCTTGATGTGCTCTCTGCCTTCCAGAAACCAACCTGAAGAAGCAGGGCCTGCTGCCCCTCACCTTTGCTGACCCAGCCGACTATAACAAGATTCACCCTGTGGACAAGCTGACCATTCAGGGCCTGAAGGACTTTGCCCCTGGCAAGGTCAGGGGGCAGGGAAGGCGGGAAGGCGGGCCAGGGCCTTCCTGAGGAGGTGAGGGGGGCAGCTACCTTGCTTTCCTTCCTTCTGCACCCATTCCTGTGAAGCATTGTAGCAGCTGGAAAGGCCCTGGTTTCTCCAGGCAGCCCCCAGAGAGGAAGGAAAGTGCCTTCCCAGAGTTGAGGGTAGAGCTAGCCATACTCCTCCCACTCCTGTCCCCCCACTCATTAGCCCAGGCTTCCCACTCAGAGGAGACAGCCTATGCCCAGCAGGGCCCTGTGGGCCCCAGGAGTCTGCCATAGTGCCACCTGGGTCTGACCTGGTTCTCCCAGGCTCAGACCCTAGGCTCAGATCCAGCCAGGATTTGGTTTCCCTGCCAGCCTCTAAGACCTTAGTGTGGTATCCTGCCTTCCTGATCCCCACCTGCAGAGCTGAGGGCCATGCAGCACCTGCCACTCCCACCCACACTCGCCTCCTTCCCTTGCAGCCCCTGAAATGTATCATCAAGCACCCCAATGGGACCCAGGAGACCATCCTCCTGAACCACACCTTCAACGAGACCCAGATTGAATGGTTCCGTGCCGGCAGTGCCCTGAACAGAATGAAGGAGCTACAGCAGTAAGAGCCAGACATCAACCCTGCCTGCCCCTCCGACGCAGCACTGGTGTCATGTATAAGCGCAGCTCCCCATGCACCATCAGAGCCAGATCTGATCCATCCAGCCATGGCTTCTTACTCCAAGATGGTGTGACCAGACATGCTTCCTGCCCTCCCTGTTCAGCCCACAGAGTGACAGTTGGGGCAGTTCTTAAAACAATTTTTTAGCCCCTGCTTTCCCATTTTTAGTTTGGTTCAGATCTTGAGCAGCTCCATGCAACTGTATTTATTTTTGATGACAAGACTCTCACCTAAAGAAGTTTTTCTCTTGCCTGATCATTTCACTGATGGCTGAAGGATTTTAGAGAACTTTTTGTTCTTGCAAGGAAAATGAGAATCCAAATTCAGTGACTGTACCTGTGAGTGGTTGGTGTCTGTGCCATTTATTATCAATTCCAGGGTTCAGGGAGGATCAGTGGGAGCCTGACAACCATGGCCACACCTGAGCTGTGGCAGAAAAGACCGCCCTGTCACCTCCTGCCCCACCCCTCAGGATCCCATAGCTTTCCTGCTAGGCCAGGATGGAGCCTCCCAGAGAGGGCCTTCATCCTCATCTTCCCCTTCCCTGGGTGCTGTTATGCCAGGCACAGCTTCATTGAGCCCTCAACACCCTAAGGGCCACACATCAACCCTGCCCACTCTTCCGACACAGCGTAGCCAGTCTCATAGGCAAAGCCAACCAGAAAGTGAATCTGTCCAAGGTCACAGCTAGTGCGTAACACCTGCTACCTCCTGTGCCTGCAGCACCCAGGACATGGCTTCTCTTCCTGGAGTAGCATCAGCTGACACTGCCCAGAACCTCCACCCTGAGCCTAAAGGCCAGGGCAGGAGGCAGCTTCCACGAAGGTCCCATCACCAGGACAAGACTTGCTGCAAAACAAGGGTCCTGGTACCAGTGTAAGTGTGAGAAGGGGCAAGAGGAACCTGGCAAAGCCATGATGCCAAATGAACAACGTAGTGCACAGATCTAGGGTGTCACCAGCAGACCCACAGGGTGTTAATAGCAGTAGCTGAGGTCTGAGTGACAAGTGACCCCAGGCTTCCTGCTGTGGTAGGAGGGGAGGAGGATACAGCGTGGTGAGCACCCTTCCACCTTGGGCCAGCAAATCCCACAGCCTCCACATTTGTGACCAGGAGCTGGTTTGACAGAGATCAGGGCCTATTCCCTTTCCAAAAACTGGTTGGGGCTGGGCATGGTGGCTCGTGCCTATAATCCCAGCACTTTGGAAGACCAAAGCTGAAGGATACCTTGAGCCCAGGGGTTTGAGATCAGCCTGACCCCAAGTCTATTTAAAAAAAAAAAGCCAAGCTCGGTGGCTCAGCCTGTAATCCCGCACCTTTGGGAGGCTGAGGTGAGTGGATTGCCTGAGCCTGCGGGTTTGA